GTGTGTGTGTGTGTGTGTGTGTGTGTGTGTGTGTGTGTGTGTGTGTGTGTGAGGTTGATTGTGGGGATGTGCAGAGTTTGATGGGGCAGGTTAATGGAGACCCGCAAGCCAAAACCATCAACCCAAACCGCAGCCCACAGTCCCCAGGAGAACCACTACGCGTTCAGTTGGGGCCGCGCCCGACGCCAGGACCGCCCAGGTCCTGAAAAAAACGACGGGGGCGCCGACAGCGCCCCAGAGGCCTGCCCGTCAGTCAAGAGGACGCTATGTCCAAACTGGCGCCGAGGAACTGAACCGACGCAGGCAGGCTGGAGGCATAAGAGCGAGTGGGTATGTTTCCAGGTGCCTGTGAAATAAAACTGCCCACCCGCACCTTCAACGGTGCGCCCGGGGCCAGCACGGCTATGAGATCATATATCGCCATCAGCCCCAGCAGGAACCAGGAGGTCCACGCTGTCAAGCAAGCGCACCCCATAATCAACCGACCGACCAAGATCGAATATTAAATTGACGCAGGACTAACGCGACGCATGCACAAAAAACCGTGAAAAGCACCAGGCTGTTTTCGGGGTACCTGCAAAAGAAAAAACCGCGCACCTTGAGGGGACCCCCAGGGGCCAGCACCGCGATGAGGTCGTACACTGCCATCAGCCCCAGCAGGACCCAGGAGGTCCATTCTGGGATGTAGGTGAACAGGAAGGCTGTGATGATGCCAGTTACCACGAGGTAGCCCTGCTTCATGAGGAGCGGGACGGGGCCGAAGAACAGCCCCACCACACCCACGATCTGAGGGGTGGTTGTGTGCGTGTGTGTGGGGGGTGGGTTGGGGTTGAGAGGGTTTGAGAGGGAGGGTGTGTGTGTGCGTGCGTGCGTGCGTGCGTATGTGCATGTGTGTGTGCGTGTGTGTCCGATGATGCCCTCATGTGCCAGCCCCTGCAACTGTGGCTGCTGCGACACGAGGGGGGGAGGGGGATGGGGGGTGCGGCCCTCGGAGTTCTCACCGAGAAGTTGAAGAGGATGAAACACAGGCTGAAGGCGTCGATGTGAACGCCCAGGACCTGGGGGGTGGGGTTGGAGGGTTTGGTCGGGGGTAGGGTTGCAAAGGGGCTGGGGTAGTGTAGGGTTTGGGGGTGGGGAATGTGAG